CCGAACTTCTCTCGAGCACCACGCAGCACTGCTCCTCCACTTCTCTGCACGTCACCTCTGCACCCGACAGCACGAGAGGCACCCCGGTGATAAACGATGAGACTGACCGGAGAGGCTGAAGTCGTCACTGTTCCGGTCCGGTTCTGCTCCAGTCCGGCTCCGGCGCTCCACAGCATGAGAGACGAAGAGGCTGAAGTCGTCTCTGGCCCGGTTCTGCTCCGATCCGGTTCCGGCGGTACTTCAAAGCCTCAAAGCGTCTCCTCCAGGTGAACACAGCGATTCCCCGGAGGTGGACAGTCCTTCATTAAAAGTAATGGGCTGCTCACTGAGGCTGAGACAAAGCCTCTATTAAAGACAAAGTCCCCCACAGCCAACTCGGTTCGGTACAGGTCCAGTTCGGGGGACACAGGTACACTTCCCCCACACCAACAAAGACACCTCGAGGGCCAGTCCAGCAGAAAACCAGCGAAATACCACCCAGCGGTTCTTGTCAGCACCAGGTAGAACCACAAAGGTCCAGATGAGAAGTTCGTTGGGGTCCGGAGAGAGAGAGAAAAACACAGGACCTTTGTGCGACGACTCCCCAGCTCGAGGGGTCACCTGGCCGGCAGGGTGCACTCAGAGTGACCAGTGGGGGGTGGGAGTGGCCGGTCCTGAACCAAAATAATTTTTTGGACGGTCTCGTCCGGATGAGTCACTGAACACTGAATTCGGTTGGAAGGGGGACCAACTTTGGTCCGATTCGAAAAAAACGGGTCAGTTTGATGATAAAAGACTGCAGAGAAGCCGGGGAAACTGCCGTCCATCAGCTTGCCAGAACCGGAAACTCCCCTGCGAAATGTCTATGTGGGTGGGGTGTTTTTTTCAATTTCATGCTATCTCTCATTTGCCATTGAGAGAGAGCCTGTTGGAAATTTTTTTACCTCCAAATTGTGTATGTTGTTACTTTCACAACTTTTTTGTCTGTCTAAACAGATCTCACTTGTCAAAGAGTCTTCAAGGCTCAATGTGATTTATCTGTATAAATAAAGGTTGAATTGAAAAAAATATATATATTTTTTATGTAATATTTAAGGTAATGCGGTGAATGGTGGGTGGTGGGGCGGCACCCTTGCGCCCTCTATTGGCCAGCTGGCACTGTTGCACAGTCATGTCTGCTACTCCATTTTATGGTGTGCTCCTAGTGAACAAAGTAGAAATAGTTATTTTATTGAAAAATTGCAGTTCATGTCTTATGTAGGCTACATCCAGCAGGCCTGAACTGGAGACCCTGTGGTTTGATTGAGGCCCGCAGACCAAATTAATTTAGATTATTTATTTAAAATATAACAAAATAAATGTTTAATGTTTATTATTCACATTACATATCAAAACAGCGGTGCTAATTTGTCAAAATAACAGCAAACAAAATGTCAAAAAGACAGTCCAATTTACTTTAATAAAAAAAAGTCTTCTCATTGTCCTTAGTTGGACAACTGAGAATTGAAACACCTTAAGGCAGTGGCCATCGAGACTGGAGGAGGAGTGAGCGAGTGGTGGGCGTGAGTGCCGAGCTAACCAGGCAGTTGTAAGCAGGCAGGATCCCACAGTCAGCTGCCATGAACAGACAGATGAGGTACCTGGACGTTTCACATGTGGAGTCGGACAACAATGAGCAGGACAGCAAATTCAGCGGAGAAGAGTCGGGCTCAGAACCATCAAGTAAGGGGGAAGGTGGTAGGATGTTTGACAGAAGCAGAGTGGTTACAAATGTAGGTAAATGTAGATGCTTAACAACCTGTTAATATACACCAGAACTCCGGTCCATCAAAGCCAAATGTTGTCAACTGGAACAACTCTTTAAAAAAGCTGGTCTTGCCATCCATAAGGACATGTGCATCTCTCAGACATCACATTACAAGATCTTAATATCACAAACTAAATATGCTTTCTACTCTGGCCTCATTTCCTCCAATAAAGGTAACACCAAGATCCTGTTTTCATTGTTGAACAATACTTTTCATCCCCCTGACTCTCTTCCCTCTCACTTCTATTCGGATGACACCTGTAATTCTCTCATGTTCTTTTTTAATGATAAAATCAGAAAAATTCATCAGCAACGTCTTCCTGCCTCTCCTCTTCCTCCCTTCTCTGAACCTTCTCCCCTCAGTCAGCCTTTTTCTGTCTTTCAGCTTCCTCCTGCCTCTGAAATAGCCAAACTCATTCTGAAATCCAAGCCCTCCACGTGTTCTTTGGATCCTCTCCCAACAATGCTTGTAAAATCTTGCCTTTTTTCACTTCTTCCTATCATTTCTGCCATTATTCACTCTTCTTTTTCTTCAGGAACTGTACCAAATATTTTCAAAACTGCAGTTGTCACTCTGATCCTTAAGAAGCCTGGATTGGATCCAAATAGTTTCAATAATCTTCGCCCAATTTTCTGATCTTCCATTCATCTCTAAAATTCTGGAAAAAACAGTTGCTTCTCAACTCCACCTCCATTTAACCAAAAACAGTCTATACGAACAGTTCCCGTCTGGTTTCCGCCCCGGTCACAGCACAGAATCTGCTCTCCTTAGAATCACTAATACTCTTCTCATGGCAGCAGATTCTCTCAGATACTCATCTCATCCTCCTCTATCTCAGTGCGGCGTTTGATACCATATCCCACAACATGGGGCGGCTGTGGCTGAGTGGTTAGAGCAGTCGTCCTCCAATGTGAGAGTTGGGGGTTCGAATCCACCAGCTGTCACATGCTGAAGTGTCCCTGGGCAAGACACTGAACCCCTCATAGCCTCTGATGTGTGTCCCATCAGAGTATGAATGTGATAAAGCTCAGATTAATCTCTTTAGAATTATTTGTTCAATTAGCTTTGTAGAGATCTAGTAGATTGCTGTGTGAATGGGTAAATGAGAACACAGATTGTAGTGTAAAGCGCTTTGAGTATCTTGAAATAAGATAGAAAGCACTATATAAATACAGTCCATTTACCATCTACCACCCTCCTCCGTAGACTTTCATCCATTGGCATCACACATACACCCCTCGCTTGGTTTCAGTCATATCTCTCTGGCCGCACTCAGTTCATCCAACTTAAATCATTCAGATCCCACTCCTCCCCCGTCACTTCAGGTGTGCCCCAAGGCTTTGTCTTGGGGCCCCTTCTTTTCATCATCTACCTTCTCCCACTTGGCAATATCTTCCATAAATTTAACATTCACTTCCATTGTTTTGCCGATGACACCCAGCTCTTCTTATCCACTGCACCTAATTCTTCACTTCCTCCTTCCTCCCTCACTTCCTGCTTAGCTGAAATTAAATCTTAGTTTATATCTAACTTCCTTAAATTAAACAGTGATAAAACAGAGTTTCTACTCATCGGCACTAAATCCACCATATCTAAAGTCAACAGTTTTTCCCTCACCATTGACAGCTTCATGGTTTCTCCCTCCCTTCACGTTAAGAGTCTGGGTGTCATTCTTGACAGCACTCTCTCTTTTCACTCTCACATCAATATTACCCGGTCTGTATACTTCCACCTTCGAAACATCAACCGTCTCCGTCCATCCCTCTCCATGCACTCTGCTTCCATCCTGGTCCATAGTTTGGTCATTTCTCGAATTGATTACTGCAACTCTCTTCTTTTTGGCCTGCCGCAAAAATTACCCAGTAAGCTTCAAATGGTTCAAAATTCAGCTGCCTGCATCGTTACCAAAACCCCCTCATTTCACCACATCACCCCAGTTTTACAGCAACTTCACTGGCTTCCAGTCATTTTCAGAATTCAATTTAAAATCCTGCTATACACATTCAAGGCCATCCATAACCTCGCCCCTTCTTATCTGTCCGATCTCCATGCACGTTATCACCCATTCACGTTCCCTTCGTTCTTCCTCTTCCATCCGCCTCAACGTGCCTCTCGTCCGTCTCAGCACCGTGGGACACAAAGCCTTTTCTCACTCTGCTCCCCAACTCTGGAACGCTGTTCCCCCAGACATCCGTAATATTGACTCCCTTCAGAACTTCAAATCACAACTCAGAACTCATCTGTTCAAGTTAGCCTTCTCACTTTAATTGTTGATTTTCTTCTTGGTTTAGTGTTTTTAAAGTAATTTTTTATTGTTTTATTTTGTGTTTTTAATGTTGTGAAGTGTCCTTGGGTGTCTTGAAAGGCGCCAACAAATAAAATGCATTATTATTATTAATAGAATGCAGGAATCGCATCTACTTTATTCAGAATTTTCTGGGGGAAGAACCCCAGACCTTCCCCCCGCCAGCTCGCCCACAACAGCATCAATTGGTTAACAAATTAAGCCCTACCCTTCATGTTAATTAGAAACCCTAACAACACCATCAGTTTCAGATTACACCAGATAGATTATAAAACAAACAGAACTGCAACCTGCTTTAAATGTTTTTTTTTTCTCTTCATTTCTATATAATGCCAGGATTGTTATTTACTTATTTAGTTCTGTGTCTGTTGGAAATGAAAACAAATAAAGAATTTGATGTTTTAGTTTAGAGCACAAACACTGAGGTACACTTCCATTTTGTGCCAAAATACTGTGTAAAAGATTTATTAATTTGTCTACAAATAAGGAGGCAATTGAGATGTCAAGACACTTGTAAATTATTTTAACAGTAGCAGCTGCCACCTTGTGCCACCACCTAGAACCGCCACTGCTGCCTGACTTCAATGATGTAGGTGTTTACGGGTTCCTCCGCCCCAGCAGCCCGCCCCCTCCGGGTTCTGGACCAATAGTTTGGGCTCCTCCGCAGCTCGTCTGCCTGTCAACCCGCGTTCAGCCTTCCTCCCCCTTCCCCTCGCCTCCTCTCCCTCCAGCATGACGTAACGCCCAGTCTGAAAGTGCAATGGCGACACTGGACAATACCAGCCGTCACGTTTGTGGACCACATCTGTGCTATGTGGCTGCTGTTGAAGGAAACACCTCCAGCCAGATGCAGAAGCGCATGTAATCTGGGCACCGCGCAGGAGCGTCAAGCTGTGAGCAGGAGAGGAGGGGGTTTCACGGCTTCTGCACGCGATGACATCTTAGAATAAAAGGCTGGTGAGTCCAACTATGGGTGTTTACTGCTGCAGCACGTCCAGAAGGATTCTCCTGTAAATGTTCTGGTCTGACACACTGCAGGCTTCAGGTCTGAGAGGGGCGTGGCAGAGCTGGGTACCTGGACTAAACGATGCTGATAGCTTAGCAACAGCGACAAGGCAGGAAAAAGGAAGGAGCGGACAGACAGACAGACACAGACAGACACAGACAGACAGACAGACAGACAGACAGACAGACAGACAGACAAGAGCTGCTTGATTCTAGCTGCTGACAGAGAGGGGATCAGCTCCAGTGAGTTTTCTAGATAAATGGAGGGAGCCATGGATGCAAGAGGGGATGTAAACAAAGGGTGTGGGCCTCTCAATTGGCCTGTGATGCTCACACGCGACACACACATACACACACAAGTTTGTCTTTCTATCTTTATAGGGACTTTACATTGACTTCCATTAATTTTTCATTCATTTGTATAGCCTAGCCATGACCCGTACTCTAAACCTAACCCATTACCAATGTATACATACCCCAAACCTAACCATTACCAGTACATACCTAACCCTAAACCTAACCATTACCAATATATACCTAAACCTAACCATTACCAGTACATACCTAACCTTAAACCTAACCATTACCAGTACATACCTAACCCTAAACCTAACCATTACCAATATATACCTAACCCTAAACCTAACCATTACCAATATATACCTAACTCTAAACCTAACCATTACCAATATATACCTAACCTTAAACCTAACCATTACCAATATATACCTAACTCTAAACCTAACCATTACCAGTACATACCTAACCTTAAATCTAACCATTACCAGCACATACCTATACATATTTCACTGTTATGCTGATGACTTCACTGTTATGCTGATGACACACAGCTCTACCTGTCAACAAAACCAAACTCCACCCACCCACCCTCCATCCTCACTGACTGTCTCAATGAGCTAAATCACTGGTTTTCTAACAATTTTCTACAACGAAACAGTAACAAAACAGAAATCATTCTTGTCGGTACCAAAAACTCTCTTTCAAAATCAGAAAATCTTCTCATCCCCCTTAACAACTCTCTGCTATCCCCTTCGCTTCAGGTCAAGAGTCTTGGTGTCATCCTCGACACCACTCTCTCCTTCACTTCACACATCAACAATGTCACTCAGTCTGCCTATTTCCATCTCTGAAATATTAACCGTCTCCGCCCTTCTGTCACACCCCGCTCCACAGCCATCCTTGTTCACAGTCTTGTGACTTCTCGGATTGACTACTGCAACTCCCTTCTTTATGGCCTCCCAAACAAATCTCTCCAGAAGCTACAATTGGTCCAGAACTCAGCTGCCCGTGTCATCACTCAAACCTCCTCCTATAACCACATCACTCCAGTCCTGCAGCAGCTCCACTGGTTCCCGGTTAAATCACGCATTGTCTTCAAAATTCTTCTTCTCACTTTCAAAGCTATCTACAACCTTGCCCCTCTGTACCTATCTGACCTCCTACACATCTCCATCCCCTCTCGCTCTCTCAGATCCTCCTCTTCACTACACCTCCATGTACCCTCTGCCCGCCTCTCCACCATGGGGAGCAGGGCCTTCACCTGCTCTGCCCCTCATCTCTGGAACTCTCTACCCCCTGACTTAAGAAACACCACCTCTCTTTCTCTATTCAAGACTGCTCTGAAAACATCTCTTTAGACTTGCTTATCCTTAACTTTGTTGTATGTATTTTATATTCTTTATGTATTTTATATTCTTTATGTAATTTATTCCTGTTGATCTTTGTTCTTATTGTAAAGTGTCCTTGGGTGTCATGGAAGGCACTTTTTAAATAAAATTATTATTATTATTATTATTATTATTATTATTATTACCTAACCCTAAACCTAACCATTACCAGTGCATACTTAACTCTAAACCTAGCCATTACCGGTACATACCTAACCCTAAACCTAACCATTACCAGT